CGACCTTAGGGTTAATGCGAGATGACACAATATACGAGAACGAAGATGTGATAGAAGCCATAAAAAGGCTTCCTGAAAACCTGTATCATGACCGGATGTTTCGCATTAAGAGAGCCTTGGACCTGAGCATGAGGCAACAGATCTTGCCTAAAGAGCAGTGGACAAAATATGAGGAGGTAGAACAACTCTTAAGGATCTGCCCGGATTGGCGAGTGGGGATTGTGTGTTAGTAACAACAGGAGTGCTTTCATTTGTGTAGTGTGTTAGGGTCACCAAGTTCTGTCGGCTGGAGGGGTTAGTAGGACAAATGTTAGCCCCTTTTTAGAGTTCAGTGTGAGGCAACTCTTCCCCAGTCACTGAACAAGTCTCTACTGTGGGGCCCAGGGCCAGTGTCCAGCCTCTGCCTCCCACGTCAAGTATCCTTCTTTGCCCTCCCCACTCTGCTTCCTTTGATTCAAAGGTCATGTTCAGGCCTCAGCCCTATGAGTGGTCCTCTAACCCTCACCCCTTGAGCTGCAAAAACTGGACGAAAGCCCGTAAACTCTCCTTTTTTCTGTCCGAACATAAAAACAATGTATTTCTATCTCTCTTGTGGGTTTTTACAATGTAGAAAAGTAGACCGCCCCTAGTCTGGGTCAGCAAATGTCTTCTGAAGGTGGAAATCAAAAGCAGTTTATTTTGATGGGCTTTGATTGGTTAAGGCTTGCTGAGTGGTTGGGAGATTGCCGTGTGTGATGGTGATATGTAATACCTTTCTTTTCTTTGTTCTTCAGGATAAATTCTACTTAGAACCGTATCTGAAAGAGGTGATTCGGGAAAGAAAAGAGAGAGAAGAATGGGCCAAGAAGTGATCATGTCATTGAAATCTGTGGAGGTAGCTGCCTGCAGAGTATTTTTATGAAGTTGGTTCAACCTGAAATGTTTAATTTAAAATCTATCCTAAGCTGCAGATGTATTACTTTAAATAAATATGTATTGTAATCTTTGTTGGACTTTTTGAGTCCTAAATCTTATAAAAATCTTGACTGTGGAATTCACTTACCTGTTTGAATTATTTTCAGACTTTTAAGATTTATCTAGCTGGTATAGAACTGCTTCCTAGAGCTCAGGAGGCCACTCATCAGTATTCCTCCTGGTGGAGAAGCTTTCAGTTTTCTGAACTCTATACCAGGTGTACAAGTAGAGTAAGCCCAACACCAAGCTCACTGCCTGGGTTAGTCAGGGCTCTCTAGAGAAACAAGACCAGGACACTAATATTTTTTATATATTTCTATAGATAGATAGATAGATAGGATAAGAAATAAACAGTTAACTAATCTATAAAGCAGTACAAATGGCTCGGTGCAACTCACTTCCGTGAGACAGCTAGTACACTGGCAGTCCTTCAAGTCCTGAGGGCTGCTGGGTAGTCCTCTGTGGAGCAATTTAGGCTGTTCGGCCACAGGCAGCAAACAACAAGCAGGTCACCAACAGTCAGCCAGGTGACAGGGTCCGACAGTCCTCAGCTCAAGAGCTGTACCTTCCAGTAGCGTGGCGAAGCAGGTCTTGAAGGAACCTCAAGTTACAGCGACACAGTCCACGGGTAGTCTAGCTTGCAAATGGAGGCACAGAACGAGCAAGGCAGC